TATGAATGGTGAATCTAAATGAGCATTGAGTGAGATTTACTTAGAGTGCATGTTTTACAATAGATGAATGGTTACATAGGAATAGAATTTCCTAGCTAAAATGCTAGTTGTGACATGCCTGTTGATCGTACGGTTCTGTTAGGAGTTATGATAGGTTAGGGTAACTGGGATAGGACAGTTATCGAGATTATGAATGACTGATCGGCGAATGACTTAATTGGGAAGTGGTCAACGACAGGGTAACTAGGGAAGGCTAGTTACTAAGGGTACATGCATACTTGTATTTTGCTATGTGTTTATGTTACATGATTATGTGATAGTGATAGCTTGGGTTCTATGTAGCTTAAGTTGGATAGCCTGAGAACTCTTGGCCTAATACCTGATTGTGATGTTTTTGTCTAATGGTTCGCTCTTGAGTGGGTTATCTGTTCGACTGTATATCTGATCCCTGACTACATATGACTTTATGAATTATATGGAAAGATTGTGGTTGGATCACAACAGATGTATGAAAGACTAGGGCTTCGCCCCTGGTATTGGAGTCAGGATTGCGCTCGTAAACTCCTTAGGGTTGGGCTCGTTACGCATGATATAAGTATGTAGATAGGAGATTTGATTGCTCGGCGCTAAAGTCAAGATCTTGTGTGGATGTATTGTATGTATTATGGGATATGTGGTATACGGGGGAACTCACTAAGCTTTATGCTTACAGCTGTGGATTAAACATTTTGTAGGTCATTCGTGAGAATGACTCGACGAGATTATACATATGCATCGAAGATGTTCGTTTAAGCGGTTTTGTAAATTTAACTATGATTACGTATGATTTCAATCAATCAAATGTTACTCCATGGTTTTTGAAGCAAAAGTTTTAATTGGTTATTGTATTTTAAATTTAAAAATTCTCTTTGTAAATTTTGGAAGTTACAAAAACAAGTTTTTATATAGACAAAAAAAAGGTTTTTTATGTGAAAATATGTTTTTTTTGTATAAATATGATTTTGAAAAAAAAAAAGATGTAAAAAACATATTCGAAACCAAATTTTGAAAAAAAGATGTAAAAAACTAAATTTAGGATGAATTCGTAACAAAATTCTGAAATCTAGGCCAAAAGTATAAATTTAGGACAAAATTTGTAATAAAGTTTGAAATCTGGGTCAAAAGTTTAAATTTTAGACCAAATTTGTTATAAAATTTAAATCTGGGCCAATAGCATAATTTTTGAAAGTTGGATGACCCGTTGACCTGGTAAAAATGTTAAAATGAATACATTTTACAGTTTTTAGGAATTAATTGACTAAAAAAAGATAATGACTAAATCGATTATAAACCTTAAACATAAGAATTTTTTTTTTTTTTTTTGTAGATTTCCCTATATATAATTAACATAAATAAAATAAAATTGTAACAACGATCTAACGACAAGTTAGTATTTTTTTAACCAATTAATCTGAATCTATATATTGTGTTTTACACTGTGATTATCTCATAAATGCTGTAAGATTATGTTAGCATAATTAGCCCTTAAAAATATCAAGTTGGATTAACGTGGGATCTGGTAAATATCAATTAGGATCGATATGATTTTGAAGTATCACTTACGATATGTGTGACTTTGATAGCATTATATAGTTTATGGATACTAAAAGCAACAATTTTAACAATCTTTGTTGTAAATTTTGACAAAGTGAATTAATATCTTTTAACTAATTAAGTGAAACATATTATTAAACATGTCTGGACAACTAGTTAACTAATGAGCTTGGAGAGTTAAAATTTTGTTTTAATAATCACCAAGGTATGTAGCTAAAAGGGCCATTGGCATAGAGGTATCGTGTGTTCCTCTCCTAAGTGGTTGAGGATTCAAGTCTCGTTGCAGACAAAAGTATAGTTTAGGAGAGAGAGAGAGAGAGAGAGAGAGAGAGAGAGAGAGAGAGAGAGAGAGAGAGAGAGAGAGTGTGTGTGTGTGTGTGCGTTTGGTTGTGGAAAATTTTTCAGTTTTCTAGGAAAATTTTCCAAGAAAAACGAAAATTTTGAAAATGTGTTTGGTTCGTTCAGTTTTTCAAAATTTTCCAAGAAAAATGAAAATTTTCAGTTTTCCAAATTGTATGTAAATTAGAAAAGTGATTTTTACAGTTTTCCAAATTTCTAAGATGGAAAATGAAAACTCCCCGGATTTCAACCAAAAGCGTTTTCTAAAGTTTTCATTGAAAATTGAAAACGAAAACTCAACTTTATTTTCTGAAAACACTTTCTTAGAAAATGAAAACAGTTTTCCGCAACCAAACGCACCCGTAGCCATTCTAAAAAAACCAATGTATGTTGCTATTGTTTAGGAAAAAAGGATTCCTTGTAGGAAAATTTAGTAATACTGTGAGAAGATGCCATCATAGGTTATAACTCTAGTAGTGGAAATTGTTAATTATTTTTGAAATGATACGTTTGGTTGTGGAAAACTGTTTTCATTTTCTAAGAAAATGTTTTCAGAAAATAGAGTTTTCAATTAAAATTTTAGAAAACGCGTTTAATTGAAACCGATGGAGTTTTCATTTTCCATCTTAGAAATTTGGAAAACTGTAAAAAATCACTTTTCTAATTTACATACAATTTAGAAAATTGAAAATTTTTCATTTTCTTAGAAAACTTTGGAAAAGTAAACGAACTAAACACGTTTTCAAAATTTCCGTTTTTTTTGAAAATTTTCCACAACCAAACGCACCCTAAACGTTTGAACTTTCCAATTTAACTAGATTATTTAGTAAGCTTTGACTTTGAATGCCAAACATATATACTAGTTTCGGTTTCAATATATATTTGATCAATATTTTAAATTTCTTAGATGGAACCAACAAATGTATCATGAATATGATAACTATTCTGAATACAATGTCTTTTTTTCATTTATAGGCCACTGTGCTAAAACAAAAGATAAAATATCATCCATGAGAATGGCAGCATCTTCACACAGACTAGAAAATGTTGGTTGCATCTGCATCACAGCCCTCTTTGATGCAGGCAGCTGAGTCAGCAATCCTTCAATAGTCTGCAACCATGAAATCATTTTCTCCAACCTTGAAATCATGCAACAAGTAGTCCCTGCTGTAGGCAATGGAAATCCATCACTTTTCCTTTGCTTAATTTGTGTCATCATTTCCTCAAATTGGCATTTTAATTCAGATGACCATTCAACTGTACACAGCTTCTTAACTAATTGTGCTTCCTTTCTCTTGTGGCCACATATACTTAGCATCCACCATAAGTATTCGACTTTTCCTTGTGCTGACATGATATTCTTCATAACTCTAATCTCCTGCATGATCATTAATTATTTATTAAGAAAAACGTGAAACCATGGTTTGTTTAGTTAACCGATTTTGTAGCAAAATATTTACAATTTACAGCCACTTGTTAATGCCACAGCATGAGTAACCTACAATGTTGGATGTTTTTGTCCTTGAATGAAATGTGACTTTGCTACATAAATTAGGTAAAAGATGAAACTTTTTTCTAACAATATAATATATACCTCACATGAGAACATTGTGAAGATGGCACTTGGAGAAGTATCTGACAGATAATTTTTTATTTTGGGAGACGTATTTGTTGCTCCCACCTCCAAGTATACCCTTATTGGATGAATCGTTGAAAACTTCAAAATCTTTAAGTTAGCAAAGCCAAAAGGTTGATGTGAGATTAGTTCCATGGATGAAGAAAGAACCTACAGTACAGAAGAATAATGCAAGCACTGTTAGTATACCTTGTTTTTGTGAAAAAGTTTTGTTTTAAATATTAGTGTATTTCAATGGTTGGGATTAACAAATCCCAGTAAGATGGAGATGATAATTAAACAACATCAAGGAATATAATACCTTGAGAATCACTAAGTTAAGTGTAAGAAGTTTGACATGTTGAAGAAGACAAACTATTTGATGAGCATATTCCAGACGTAGTTTGTAGATACAGAGATCCACCTTCTTCAAAGAAGGGAAACCTTGTCCTTGTGTGGCAACTACCTGCAAAGGATCATCACCTTTGATGACCAAGGAGGTAACACCAGGTGCAGAAATCAGATGCTTCCCATAGCAATGTGTAATACTCAGATTCTTAAGTTGAGGTGCATCCACATTTAAATCGTCCACCCCTCCAGTATGTATCTTCAAGTGTCAGATTAGAAAGTCAAGGATGAAAGATATTCAAAACATTCGTTCCAATTCCAATCACTCTGCAACCACTTATGATAAGATTCTTCAAGTTGGGGCACTTGGAGAAAAAACCACTGCACTTATCAGTATTATTATTTTCACACAGTGTAAGTGTTATATCATGAAGATGCAATGTGGTTAAATCTAGGAGGTCCCTGCTGGGTGTTGTGATGATGGAATATGCATAAAAAGCTCCATTCAGCTGTTGGAATTTGTTGTTGAGAATTTTTTTGATAGATTCATCGTTGCATGATCGTTCATGCACTGAATACATTTTTGTTTGATTATTGCGGTGACACAGGACATTAGTAATAGAATATTCCTGGTCATTTGAGAAATTGAGATAGGGCAATGAAGTCCGGATAGACCTCCATCTAGATGACAAAACACACGTTCTCATAGCGTGTTTGGTGCTAATAAAAGAAAGGATTCTATGGATAAGGTCATCTGGCAAGCTGCTTAGGGCTGTTTGGTATTAAGAGGCAAACTCTTAAATTTTCAGATTAAGAGTGTTTGGTAGCATAGGAATAAAAGCATCTTAATTTTCTAAAAGCCACTTAAAGTTTCAGACTTTGGCCCGTATCTGAAAAAAAAATCACGCGTCCTTCCCTCTTTTACCCTCATGCGCTGCTAATATGCCCGCCTCCAAAACAAAACACCCACGTTCATATCTTCTCTTCTGTCTCCTCCCACCTCCGACCCTGTAGAGTGTCGATCACCTCCTCCCGTCGTCGACCTCCCTGAAATCGACTCCATCAGCCGACCGCCGCCTCTACTTGCGCACCATTTCCACCGGTAATGAACCCCTCCATCTTCCTCAAATTCGCCGACTGTGGTAAGTTTTTTTTTTCTCCCGAAATTCATGTGATTCAAATTTCACAACATCGACTGTGGCAATGAACCCCTCCACCACCTCTGTGTGATTTTTCATTCCCCCTCGTTTTTATTTGCATTTCTTATTCTAGACTATATAATCCAAAGTTCCATTCAATCAATTTTGTAATTACACAGTCAATTTCCTAGGAGTTCACTCATTACAACTCTTATACCCGCCAACTGTTTGTGAAAAGTCCTTTTGCATCCTCACAAATCAAAGCTCATGCGCCTCTTCAGGTATGTGATATGTTCTTCCTTTTTTTGATAAAATTGGTTGTTTAGCTACTAAAATTGTTTGTTTGCTGAAATTGTTTGTTTATATGCTAAAATCATGAAATTTAGATGTAATATTTACATAGCTTAGAGTTGCAGGGGAGAAGAAGATGGAGTGATTTCTTTATTTTTTCATGATTTTTTTACTTGTAATTGTTTATTAGGGTTTGATTGATTGGTCTTTTGTTCTACATGATGTAACATGGATATGGTTTATATCAATTGTAGTTGTTCAGTATGGTTGGAACCTGACATTCATCCAATTCGTGTTGCAGCAGGCTATAGGATTGCTTCAAAGATTGATGTTGATCATATGCAACAAATCTCACACATAAAGTAATCCAATATAGGAAAGGCATCAAAACGGAAGGATAGGTTCAGTTAATTTTAGAAATAACAAATTGGAATAGTTTTTGTGTAGTGTTTGAAAATATTTATGTTTGGATTTTATTTGAATTTTAGTATTATTTGGTGGATTTGAAAATATTTTTGTTTGATTTGGATTATGTATTGTGTTTATATATATTTTTTTATAATTATTCAAAGAGTTTGTTCAGTTATTTTTTAAAACAAAAACATTGAAATAAACAAAAGTTATACAAAAGGGTAAACTTATCATTCTTATCATTCAGCATAGCAATTCAGATGTTCCAACCAAACAGTATGTTATAAATTCAGATCTTAAAAATTCAGACCCTCTTAGAAATTCAGATCTCTTAAAAATTCAGATCTTAAAAATTCAGACTCTGCTAAACAGCCCCTTAGTCTATCATCTTCTACATTCATTCTGGTTTCTCCATCCCCAAAATCTAACCTACCACACAATGCTGCTTTTCCTGCAGATCCAAACATATCTTTTTGCATTCTTTTTGTCTCTAAAAGCTGCTGCAATGAAATAGATGAATGCTCAAGTTTTGTTTTTCAAAGCAAAAAATTATAACACCAATGGATTGATATTTATCACACTGTGCATTTAAAACCGATGATTGTTCATGTGCCCTGAGTATTTATTCTTTACCAATACTAAAAAATTAGTAGCATGGAGTAATATGATTCGTTCTCTATTTCAGTCCACAACCCTAAAAACAGAAAATCAGTTCAAAATTCCCCCAATCCACATGATTATATTCAAAAACAAAGGTATAACTTGGAAAACAAGTTTCACTCAAGATAGAGGAGATCAAATTGTACAATTCTCCATAAGGTTTCTACTGTTTCTACCTGTACAGTTTAAATCTATATGGCCAAAATAATTCTCATTGGTCTGACTATTAAAAATCCAAATATCAAGTGCAATTCAGGATATTCATTAACTCCGATCACCAATGGATTGATATTTATCACACTGTGCATTTAAAACCGATGATAGTTCATGTGCCCTGAGTATTTATTCTTTACCAATACTAAAAAATTAGTAGCATGGAGTAATATGATTCGTTCTCTATTTCAGTCCACAACCCTAAAAACAGAAAATCAGTTCAAAATTCCCCCAATCCACATGATTATATTCAAAAAGAAAGGTATAACTTGGAAAACAAGTTTCACTCAAGATAGAGGAGATCAAATTGTACAATTCTCCATAAGGTTTCTACTGTTTCCACCTGTACAGTTTAAATCTATATGGCCAAAATAATTCTCATTGGTCTGACTATTAAAAATCCAAATATCAAGTGCAATTCAGGATATTCATTAACTCCGATCACCTGAATAGTCCTTTCATCGTTTGCGTGATCAGCCATAGAAGCTGCCCAGAAGAAAGATGGTCACGGATATATACACATTCTAGAAAAAAGATTTCCGAAAGTTCAATTAAGTTATACCTAAAGTTTTGTTTTCTTCGGAATAAAAAAAATTATAACATTGAAAAACTTTTAAGTTTATCAACAATGGATTGCTATTTATGGCACTTAGTATTTATGGTATACGAATAGGAAAAAGATTTGCAAACTGTCCCCAATCTACATGATATCGTTCGTTTTCGATTCCAGTAGCCAGCCCAAAAAAAACAGAATGATCGGTTAAAACTGTCCTCAATATACATGATTAATCGGTAAAAGGAGAATGCGATAATTACACACTAGCAAGCACAATGAGATGTTCAGACAATATATGCTACATCCAGCTAGGTTTTTCTCCGGAAAACTGAACATACCTTTTTCTTGAAATTCTAAGACGCTGGAAGATCTAATTGAACACCGATTGGATTGCTAAATGCTAGGGCGTAGGAGAATAGAATTATATAGTTAAAATAATAACTTTTACCAAATTATTATTTAATATTTCTACTTTGAAACAAAATGTTAGTAGTAAAGCAAACATATAGTTAACATATTAGTTTTATTAAAGATTATAGTTTAATTTTTAAGTCATTGTGATATATACAATTATTTGATAATTTTATAAACCGTTTAAAATTGTGTAAATTATATATCAAATGAATGATAATATAACGGGTAACAAAACGTATGAACAAAAATATGAACTGCAACTTTTAGTAACATAAAAATAGAAAAACATCTATTATAACATTTGTATTAAAAAGATATATATACAACGAATAATAAAAAATATGAAAAATAAACACTATAACTTTTAATAACATAAAAACACTAAAACATCTATTATAACATTTATATTAACTCTTCATATTTAAATCACAATCTCTTCAAATACATTAATGTTTTTAATGAGCAGAACTTTACAACCTTATAAAAGAAGGAAAATAAACAGTTATTAGTGATTACTAGTAATAATCCTAAGTTAAAAACTCTTGAGTTGTAACTAATAAATATACATAAATTAGAAAACTCTTGAGTTGTAGTGTGAGTTTCAAATGAATGCAGTACTTGGAAATGTATATTTATTATTATTATTATTATTATTATTATTATTATTATTATTATCGTCTAAATAATTGGTTTTGATGCATCATTTTAATCCCTTTAATTATTAAACATAAAGATATTTAATTATAAATTTATAACATACATAGGTGCGTATACATGTTAAACAAATCACATATAATATATATATTTTCGTAAATGTCATATGTAATTCTTGTCGTAGTAATATGGATAAATTACTTTCATATGAAGAACTATCATGATAAGTCTATCATAATTACATATCAAATGTTCAAAATTATGTTATCTTTTAAATATTGTCTTTTAAATATGTTGTGTAGGATAACCCAACAAAAAAATAATAGAAAATAAACATAATCAAAATAGAAAAACTACTATCAAATAAATAAGGGCATTGGGTGGTTGAATATATAAATAAAGATGTTACATAAACATGCATTTAAATCAAAAGAAAAAACTAACATTCGTCAACTTTGCTCAAACAAAAAAACCTATATTCATTTTTGAATCTTCTTTCTTCTCATTTAACATCATTCAACCATAGAAACTTGATGACAATTCTTCACTAACCTGCAATCAAAATATTTTTCTTGAAAAAGAAGAATAAGAAAGATATTCCAAGCAAAACATTGATGTTTGGAGAGTCACATTCAAGATTGAGTAATACACACAAATCACATATAAAGATTAAATGAGAAACTGAATATAAAGAAAGAATAGAAAAGCTTCATTTGTTTTGGTTGAAAGAAAAAATCATATTACAATTACCATCGATGCGACATAACGAATTTCTTCAAATCATCATATTTGGATCGTGAATGCTTCAACTATATGAAAACTTTTAAATCACAATATCTTCAAATCCTTCTTACATGTAAGATTTTATATAACACAAAATACACAAAAGATTGGCCTTTTTATAGTAAATTTTTCACTAAATGCTAATTAAACATAATATAAGTTATAAAACTTTTGAGTGTTAAATCATAATTAAGAAAACTTTTGAGTTGCATTAGTTAAAAAAGGGGGTTTCAAATGAATGTGGTTTGAGGAAGTTAAAAAAGGGGGTTTCAAATGCATGAAATTTAAGAAAAAATGCTAAGTATGTATGATATATCTGAATCGGATCACAATCAGGTCCATGCTTCCATGGATGGCGGTAAATTGGGCCATGTTTGATATTATTTTTATGGGTTAATATCATAAAAACTTGAGTAAATTACAAGAATGGTCCCTATGGTTTGGGGTAATTTGCGTGCTTGGTCCCTAACTTATTTTTTTTTTTAATCTCGGTAGGTTCCTACTATTTGTTTTTGTTACGCGCTTGGTCCCTACTGTTTGTTTTTGTTATGTGCTTGGTCCCTGTCTTACCTAAGAAGACTATTATTTAAATGGGGAAAAATTGTGGGGTAGGTAAGGTAAGGTGAGGGGTGGGGTTGGGAGTTTGTTTATTTAAATAAATTAAAAAATCAAGGGCAAAGTAGTATTTTTAGGTAAAACAGGGACCAAACGCGTAACAAAAACAAACAGTAGGGACCTTCCGAGTTAAAAAAATAAGTTAGGGACCAAACGCACATATTATCCTAAACCATAGGGATCATTCGTGTAATTTACTCTAAAAACTTTATATATATATATATTATATATATATATAATATATATATATATATATATATATATATATATATATATATATATAGTTTTTCTAAACATGATTTTCTATTTAAAAGTATATATTCTATTGTTTTTCTTACTTTTTACGTTCTCACTCTATTAGAGTGGTGGGTGTGGTGCCACACTTGCCACAGTCCACGTAGGCATCACGTCATTTTTGCCACACTTTCGCCAAAATTTGTCATTTGCTAGGTGCAGATTGCCACACTTGTCATGCTAAATATATATCTTTTTTTAATTAATTTAGAAAATAATTATTGCAAACATATTATTTATTTTAAAACTTAAATTCCATTAAAAAACATAGAGATTAAAAAAATACATCACACTATAAATTCAAAAAATAACAAAGAAATTCAAAAAATAACATGGAAATTAAAAATATCACAAGAACACTACAAATTCGGAAACATCACACTAGAAATTCAAACACACAACCCACTAAAAATTAGAAGAAAAGACTTCAAATTTGACGTCATTTGGGGCTCTGCCTCAACATTTGTCAAAACTCAATAAACTTGAAATCTTTGCCAGTTTCAACACGGTAAGCCTCAAAAGCATTCTGTAGCAAAATGTTTTTGTTTTCACCATTTCCGGCATCATGCATCACCCTACGAAACACAACGGTAAACCGAGTTGCGAGTGCGTGTGCGTTTCTCCATTTGGCGTAGAGTAGATCTTTTCTTCGTGGTTGAAGGGCTTGGCGGTTGTATATGTCGACGACTCTACTCCCAAAAGTAGTCGAAGAGTAGTCACTGTGGTGTGGATCTTCTGCTACATCAATCTATGAACGAGCGAGTAAGATATCTCTTTAGTCGACCAAACAATAGCCATTTTTTGTGATGGGGAGTAGAAAGAATGGAAAAATAAGAAAGTTAAGAGAATAGAATTAAGGAGATTTGAATGGGGTGAAGAGTGAATAAGGATGGAGGTATTT